TCTCTCACTTATTTATAATAACTAATACAATGTAAACGCTTTGTAAATAGCTGCCAGCCCATGGCAAGTTCAAGTTTTGCTTTTTGGAACTTTCTGGAATTATTTTTTCATGGATATTTTCAGTCTGTGGTTGGCTGAATCCACAGATGCAGAACCCATAGATATGGGTTTATATATTTATATATCACTTAGCATTTAGCTTTAAAACCATATGCTATAATATACAGGTCTTGCTTGTGTATTGATTAATCTGTCCCCACATGTTTCATGTTTTTTGATGCTGTTGTAAATTTTATTGCTGTTCAAATTCATTTTCCAATTGTTCATTGCTAGTATAGAAATACAATTAAATTGTTTTTTTTTTGCGGTACGCGGGCCTCTCACTGTTGTGGCCTCTCCCGTTGTGAAGCACAGCCTCCGGACGCACAGGCCCAGTGGCCATGGCTCACGGGCCCAGACACTCCCGCGGCATGTGGGATCTTCCCGGACTGGGGCACGAACCCGCGTCCCCTGCATTGGGAGGCAGATTCTTAACCACTGCGCCACCAGGGAAGCCCCTACAATTAATTTTTATATGTTGACCTTGTATCCTATATTCTTGCTAAAACTCATTTACCAGTTCTAATAGATTTTTTTTTTTAGGATTTTTTTACATAAAAAATCATGTTGTCTGCAAAGAAGGATAGGTTCATTTCTTCATTTACAATCTGAATATCTTTTAATTTTTTTTTCTTGCTTTTTTTGTACTGACAAGAACTTCCAGTACAACATTGAATAGAAAATGTGAGAGTGAACACCCTTGCTTTGTTCCTGATCTTAGGGGTGCCTTTCCTCATGTAAGAATTATATCGGTTGTAGGTTTTTCATAGAAGGCCTTTGTCAGAATGAAGAAGTTTCCTTCTTTTCCTCATTTGATGAGAGTTTTTATCATAAATGCATGTTAGATTTTCTCAAGTACTTCTATATTTTTTGAGATGATCTTATGATTTATATCTTTTCTTCTTTAATTATGGAGAATTACATCGATTGCTTTTTGAAAGTTAAACCAACCTTAAAGTCATAGGGTGAACCCCACTTAGTCTGGTGTACTATCTTTTTTAAGGATTTTGCATCTGTGTTGATGAGAGATATTTCCTGTAGTTTTCTTTGCTTATAATGCCTTTGTCTGGCTTTGGTAACGGTGTAATGAATTAACTTGGGAAGGGTTTCCTTCTCTTCTATTTCCTGAAAGAGTTTGTATAGAAATAGTATTGTTCCTTAAATGTTTAATAGAATTCACCAGTGATGGCATCTGGGCTTAGGGTTATATTTTGGGAAGATCAGAAATTAGAAATTAAATTTTGTTTAATTGGTATAGAGCTATTCACATTTTCTTCTTGAGGCAGTTTTGGTAATTTGTAGCTTTCAAGATATTTGTCCATTTCATCTAAGTTGTTGAATGTATTGGCATAATGTTAGTTTGTAATATTCCTTTATCATCCTTTTAATGTCTGTAGGCTCTGTCCTGATGTCCCCTTGTTGCCCTGATATTAGTAATTAGTGTTTTCTTTCCTGTATCCTAATGAGGGGATTAATTTTATTGAACTTTTCAAATGACCAGCATTTGATTTAAAATTTTTTTCTACTGGTTATCCATTTTCTCATTGTTGGTTTTCTGATTTGTCATTATTTTCTCCTTCTACTTATTTTGGATGGTCTTAGCATCAACATAGATAAGTGAATCATAATACAGTCTTGAAATAGACCCATACATAGTAGCTCAATTGATTTTTGAGGATGGTGCAGAAGTTATTCAAGGGGAAAAGATAGCCTTGTCAAGAAACTGTGTGAGAAAACTAGGCATCAATATGGAAAAAAAGGAATCTAAACCCTTACCCCACAACAAAAGCAAACAAACAAAAAATACTTCAAATGATTCATAGATGTAAGTGTTAGAACCAAAACTATAGGATTTCTTGAAGGAAAAATAGGAGAAAATGTTTGTGACCTTCTGTTCTTTGAAAGATACTGTTAAGAAAATGAAAAAAGCAAGCTACAGTGTGAGAGAAAGTATTTGCAAAACTTATATCTGAAAATGACTTATATCCAAAATATACAAACAGCTCTTACAGATTTATTATAAGACAAATAGTACAATTTTTTAAAAATGGGTAAAATGTTTAGAAATGTGACAAAAAGATATATGAATGACCAGTAACACACGTGAAACAACATTCAAAAAAGGTCACCAGTGAAATTCAAATTAAATGACAGTGAGCCAACACTTTATGGCCATTAGCATGGCTAAATTTGAAAGAGTGACCATACTAAGTGTTTGACAGGCTCTAGAGCAACTGGAAGTCTCATGTATTGCTGGTGGAAATACAAAATGGCACAACCCCTTTGGAAAACAATATAGAAGTTTCTTTTCTTTCTTTTTTTAAAAAAATAAATTTATTTATTTATTTTTGGCTGCATTGGGTCTTTGTTGCTGTGCATGGGTTTTCTCTAGTTGTGGTGAGCGGGGGCTCCTCTTCATTTTGGTGCGTGGGCTTCTTATTGTTTGGCTTCTCTTGTCGTGGAGCACGGGCTCTAGGTGCATGGGCTTCAGTAGTTGTGGCATGTGGGCTCAGTAGTTGTGGCTCGTGGGCTCTAGAGTGCAGGCTCAGTAGTTGTGGTGCAGGGGCTTAGCTGCTGCTCCGCAGCATGTGGGATCTTTCCGGACCAGGGCTCAAACCCGTGTCCCCTGCATTGGCAGGCAGATTCCTAGCCACTGTCCCACCAGGGAAGTCCCTAGAAGTTTCTTATAAAGTTAAACCTACACTTTCCATATGACGCAGTAATCCCACTCCTGGATATTTACCCAGAGAAATGAAAACATATGTCCACACAAAGACTTGTACAAGAACGTTCCTAACAGCCTTATTCACATTAACTCAAAACTGGAAGTTACTCAAAGGTCCATCAATAAGCGAACGGATAAATAATTGTGGCAGTTAGAAGTAATGAGGTACTAATGCATACAACAACAGGAATGAAGCAAAAGAATCCAGACACTAGGGTCCATACTGTACGATCCTGCTTATGTGAAACTCTGTAAAAAATCAAGTTTACTATAGAGGGGTGAGTGGTTGAGACCAGGGGAGGGGGAGAATAACAGGCAAGGGGTAAAAGGGAATCTTTTGGAGTGTTGGAAATAATTCTTGATTGTGGCAGTACTTAGTTCTGTGTATTGTCAAAATTTATCAAACTGTACCCTTTAATAAGTGTATTTTATTATATGTAAAATTATACTAAAGTAAAAGAAGTTTCTTGTTTAGTGATTATCAAATCTGGTTGTACTTCAGAGTCATCTGCTAAGCTTTTTAAAGTGTACATTCTTCTACCTTATGTCATACCCAAAGAATCAATGTTTAGCATTAGGCCTGCTCATTTGAGGTTCTTAAGAGTTTCAGAGGTGATTCTGATTCTCAGTGGGACTTCAAAAATAATTTTTTTTCTTCCATGACTTTTCATTCTTAAGACTCCTAGGATCTAATAAAGTGAAATTTTAGCTATAAAAGGGATTACTGATTTTTTTCATGAATTCACATCCTGCTTTCATTAATGGCTTTTAGAAGAACTTTATATTACTTATTTTGGAAGTTTGCTATTTTTAATAGCATATGCTTACATTGTTAAAATATGAAAAATAAGAAAAATTCCCATTATATCACATTTTTGAGTATATGAAATGAGCTATTGAAATGTCCTATTTAGTCCTCCAGTCTCATACCCCTAATTACTAATGATTTGATGCATATTTTCTAGATATTTCCCTATGCTTATAGAAAAGAGATATATTCTAGTTTTATATGTTTTTAAGTAGTCATTTATATATTTAAGTAGTATGCGTTGAGTGCCTGCTCTGTGGCAGCCGTTACACTAGGCCCTGAGGCTATTGAGCCAAAGAGATATCTGCTCTCCTGTGATGTTGTCAGATGGGAGGATAGATGTTGATTAAATAAAAACACAAACATATATATTAAAACTGTAGCAGGTGTTACAGAAGACAATTATAGAATATTGTAAGATTACATAGTAAAAATTAAAACCTTTTTTGACCCTTTTACCCTAGTTTGGTTCCATCCTTTGAAAAGTGTGCTTTTTCTAAAGTATTTAGTACTGCTTGGGTAGTATGAGTATTCATTTGCATGAAACAACTTGCACATGAACATCCCCATATTAAAATATTATTTTCTCCTCTCAGTGTTAGTCAGCATTCTTGTATTATTTTAAAATACAAAGAAGACTTAAATATTTAACTTAAGTGACAAAAAATTGAAAAAAGATTCACTCAGCAAATATTTGTAAGTACCTCCCTGAGTCTTGGTCTGTGATCATCATTCAGTTATATGCTATACAACATTCTGTTACTAGAACAACAATAGCAACTTGAAAGTGGCAATTTGTTCTGGCAGCATATTTTTGGTGCTGTCAGAGGAGTTATTACTGTTGGAGTGTGTCAAACACAGTGCTTTTAAAAATATGTTACACAATATACTAATTGTATTTGATATTAATAGAGAGTATGTGGGGTGGAATTTTTGTGCTCATACAAGTTTAGGAAATGGAGAGCTAAAGTTAAACATTTTTAGCTCTAGGTATTTTCAAAACTTTTAATACGTTACATTCTGAATCTTTTAAGATGGAGCTGTAGTACACAGTGACTCTCTTTCTGATCATGGAACCCTTTCCTCCTTGCCTTATAGTTCTATGAATAGATATTTAAGGAAAGAAAGAAATCTCCAGTAATATCTAAAAAAATCATAGTGGCATGTTTTAAAGATGCATGATAATTTTAATGTAAAACATTATTGTTTAAACATGATTTTTCTCTCTCGTAAGCACCAGATCTGTATTTTATATTTATATGCTGAGCTTTGGGGAATTAATTTACATATAAGGAAAGAATCATTTCTCCATTCTTGCATCCTAAACTGGGAAAGGAAAATGAAATTTATGTTTCTCTTATATTTCAGAACAAAGTAGAAGAGATGACTTAGAAGCTTTAGGTCATATGTTCATGTATTTTCTGAGAGGCAGTCTTCCTTGGCAAGGTTTAAAGGTAATTGTTTTTGTGTTTCCTTATTGAATTTCATAAATTGTTAATATATTAAGATACTGTCTTCCACGTATTTAATTTTAAAATTATGTCTCAAGATTCTTTTTCTTTCTGTTTTAGGCTGACACATTAAAAGAGAGGTATCAGAAAATTGGAGATACAAAACGAGCCACACCAATAGAAGTGTTATGTGAAAATTTTCCAGGTAATGAATAATGCTGCATGTGCTTATTATACACAGAAAACTAGAACTGTTCATTTTCATTGCTTAAGTTGATAAGTACTTTTTTCATGCTTAAAAAATATGATTCAAAAGATGTCAGCAGGACTTCCCTGGTGGCACAGTGGTTGGGAGTCCGCCTGCCAATGCAGGGGACATGGGTTTGATCCCTGGTCCAGGAAGATCCCACATGCCGTGGAGCAGCTAGGCCCATGCACCACAACTACTGAGCCTGAGCTCTGGAGCCTGCAAGCCACAACTGCTGAGCCTATGTGCCACAACTGCTGAAGCCCATGCGCCTAGAGCCCATGCTCCACAGCGAGAGAGGCCGCTGCAATGAGAAGCCCGTGCACCACGAGTGGCCCCTGCTCGCCACAGCTAGAGAGGGCCTGCATGAAGCAACAAAGACCCAACGCAGCCAAAAATAAATAAATTAATTAATTAATTAAAAAAAGGAAAAAAAAGATGTCAGCATTTGATACACAGACCACAGGGCAATGTGTATATTCACTTTTGTAAAACAGTATTAATGGAAGAAAATTCATCTTTTAATACTGTTGACCAGTACCAGCTAAAGCAATATTTTCTTCAGTAGCATACTTTTAATAAGTTGAAATATTTGCTTAGAAATACTAACTAAAGTTTTGGTATCCAATATTAGTCATTTGAGTCTCAGTGTCAAGCTCAAAGGAGGTGTATGATGTATGATTTAGTCTGGTTTTCCAAGTACAGTAAAATCTTACTAACCTTACTACTTTTAGGCTAATTTTGTATTGGGGAGCTTTATGAAGATAGATTTGCTCTCATGTAGATTTTTGGCAACTCACGTGAAATCAACAAAAATTTACTTAAGATTCCTAAGTCAATTAAGGGATAAGAATAATGTGTCCCTAATGTGTTAAAATACCTGTTGTGATTTATGCAATAACATTAAATGAGAACCAAACTTGAAGATAGAAGATGGAACTTATATCTCACTTCAGTATTTACAGGTTCTCCTGTACAGTGCTGGCATTATTATTGTAATAGTATCAGCAGCATAATCTCAGGTAGCCCTTTTTCAAGTTTGCTTTTATTATTCATTGACAGTAAACTTTAATTATGTATTTTGCTTTCTTGCTATATAACATATAGAACTGGAAGATTAAAAGAAAAAATAGATTGATAGTACTAACAGTTTAGGTGTAGGCAGATTGGCTATACCTTATTAAGAAGCTTATACAAATTTCTGCAGGAAAAATGGGGGTGTCAAAGTAAATTAGCCAGGTGATTAGCTAGAAAGTGGAATAGTGGGAGAGTCACCATGTGACTGGGTCACTGGATGCTACTTTCATGCCTGTTAGGCTATGGGTGATCCTTTTCTTATTAGCTGCCATGAACAAATTGGATCAAAAAAGCAGCTAGGTGTAACCTACCATCTCTTATAATAGTGCTTTTATGTGCTCTGATGGTTAAACACTGTTTTACTAATTGCTGACCATTTTGCTTATTGATTTTTATGGCTTTTTCTTTCTTTTACTTCTGGAAAATACGACCTTTAAAAAAATACATATCTCTAATATATTTGGGAATTATAATAGCATGCAAAGGTTTATGTATTATTAAATAATTGTTACATTTATGACCAGAAATTAAGAGAAGAATTAAACTGTCCTCCTGAATCTGTTTTAGCTTTATGTTGCTAGGTCAGTTGATTAGAATACCATTTAACCAAGGTTAAGAATTTGAATCTTCTATTGGTCATTTAGCATCACTGATTCTAAAGGAAATCCAGCAAGGTAGTGCAAATGCTTTCATGTATAAATCAGTTCCTATCAGTATTTAAAATAATTTTTAAAAATATGAGCTTAGTATGGTGTTTTGTGATTAAATAATTATGCATTATTAAGTTTCTATTTCAACCTTGGATACTGTCCAAGGTTTCTATTAAAAATAATGTAAAGTAAAAATTTTAGCCTTTCCTAATGAATTGAAACAAAAATAATGTTTGTTAAATCTCTGATTTATCTTTTGTCCCTATTTCCTTTCTTCCCTTCTTTCCCCCTTTTAATTTCATTGTTATTAAGTTCATAATATTTTAAATTTTAGTAGAATTTTGTTACTTTTTCATGTTTTTATAATACCCTGTGCTTTTAGATATTTATAATTTTATTATTAATGAGTATTAGAAAAGTTTAATGAGAGAAAATTTTTATTTCCGTTCTAGAAGAAATGGCAACATATCTTCGTTATGTAAGAAGGCTAGATTTTTTTGAAAAACCAGACTATGACTACCTAAGAAAACTTTTTACTGACTTGTTTGATCGAAAAGGGTATATGTTTGATTATGAATATGACTGGATTGGTAAGCAGTTGGTGAGTACTCTAGGCTATATAATAAAAATAAAAGATTATTTGTAGTACTTAACCTTCTTTTTCATAGTACAGATCCTTTATTTAAAAAGAGTTGAGAACAAATAATTTTTTATTTTGAAGTATAATTGATTTACAATATTATATTAGTTTTAGGTGTACAACAGTGATTCAGTATTTTTATAGATTATACTCCACTTAAAGTTATTACAAAATAGTAGCTATATTTTTCTGCACTGTACAGTATATCCTTATTGTTGATTTATTTCATACATAGTAGTTTGTCTCTTAATCCCATACTCCTGTCTTGCCCCTCCCCCCCTTCTTTCTCCTCACCGGTAACCACTAGTTTGTTCTCTATATGTGTAAGTCTGTTCCTATTTTGTTATATACATTTGGTTGTTTTATTTTTTAGATTCTACATATCAGTGATAACAGAGTATTTGTCTTTCTCTGTCTGAGTTATTTCACTAAGCATAGTACTCTAGGTCCATCCACATTGTTGCAGATAGCAGAATTTCATTCTTTTTTTTTATGGCTGAGTAATATTCATATATATGTGTGTGTGTGTGGGTGTGTGTATATCCATATCTATATCTGTATCATCTCCATATCTTCTTTATCCATTCGTCCGTTGGGCACTTAGTTTGCTTCCATATCTTCAATATTTTGGCTATTGTGAATAATGCTGTTATGAACATTAGTGTTTTCGTTTTCTTTGGATGTATACCCAGCAGTGGAATTGCTGGATCATATGGTAGTTCTGCTTTTAGTTTTTTGAGGAATCTCCATACTGTTTACCATAGTGACTGCACCAATTTAAATTCCCACCAGTAATGCACAAGGGTTCCATTTTTTCCATATCCTCACCAACACTTACTATGTCTTGTCTTTTTTATAATGGCCATTCTGACAAGTGTGAGGTGATATCTCATTATGGTTTTGATCTGCATTTCTCTGATGATTCGCAGTGTTGAGCATTTTTTAATGTACCTGTTAGCCATCTGTATGTTTTCTTTGGAAAAATATTAATCCAGGTTGTCTGCCCATTTTTTAAAGGGTCCTTTGTTTTTTTTGGTATTGTATGAGCTGTTTATAAATTTTGGATATTAACCTCTTGTAGGTTATATCATTTGCAAATACTTTTTCCCATTCAGTAGGTTGTCTTTTCATTTTGTTGATGGTTTTCTTTGCTGTGCAAAAGCTTTAAAGTTTAATTAGGTCCCATTTGTTTATTTTTGCTTTTGTTTCTCTGCCTTAAGAGATAGATCTAAAAAATATTGCTACAATTTATGTCAAAGAGTGTTCTGCTTATGTTCTCTTCTAGGAATTTTATGGTTTCATAGATAAAGGTCTTTAATCCATTTTGAGTTTATTTTTGTATATGGTGTTAGGAAATGTTCTAATCTCATTCATTTACATGTAGCTGTCCAGTTTTCCCATCACCACTTATTGAAGAGACTGTCTTTTCTTCATTGTATATTCTTGCCTCCTCTTTCATAGATTAATTGACTACAAGTGTGTGGGTTTATTTCTGGGCTGTCTGTTCTACTCCATTGACGTATGTGTCTGTTGTGCCAGTACCATGCCGATTTGATTACTGTAGCTTTGTAGTATAGTCTGGAATCAGGGAGTGTGATATGTCCAGCTTTGTTCTTTTTTTCTCAAGATTGCCTTGGCATTTCAGGGTCTTTTGTGGTTCCATATACATTTTAGGATTGAGAATAAATAGTTTTTTAAAGGGTTCATTTTATTTCTTTTTTATGGATGTTTCAGGTAGCATAATATAAAAATTATTCTTTGAATTTTGTAAAAACCGTACATTTGGAGTCTACTTTTTAGAGTGATGAGTTATTTTGAATGTTTTACTTCTGATTTAGTTCTTAATGTCAAATATACTTTTTAAAAATATAATATTCTAGTGATAACTTTTAAAAGATGAGCTAGTTTTTTTCCTTTAGTCATCTTTCAAAGCATTTGTAATTTTAAAATATGTGTTAATTATTCTAGCAGTTTTAGGTTATCTTGGAATAGACTGATACTTATATATTGGAGCATGTTTAGGTTTTTAAAACTGTACCAAGTTTTCATAGTTAAAAAAAAATTGTCTTGATCATAACTGTGGGATGGGTGTCATTACTTAAATGAAGTTATCGTTAAATTCTTTCTTTGAAGTGGTGACTTCCAGAAAATCAAATATGTATTCTCACTAGTCTTTTATTTTTAAATAAGTAAGAATGCCTTACAAAATTTTCTATAATTATGGCTCACTGTTAGCAAATTTTTTTCCAGATTTGGAACTGCTGAACTCTCAGATTCAAGTATTTTTGAACAACTGACTTACTTAAGCGTTTAATCTGTATTTTTCTTAACTCCAAAGTGATTTAAATACATATAGTATCTAAAATGCAAATCTGAATATACTTTGATTAAAGTATTTATATGAAGTTTTGAATTATATTTGAAAATTTAAATTTTATATAAGCCTCTTCTGAGCTAAAATATTGACAGTAAGCAATTTTATTAGCTTATTTAAAAAACTATTCCCTTAATTTTCTTAAAATAATTTTTTCCGTTTATATATTGGCTTTGGAAATGAGAAACATAAACAAATACACTTTCATTTTTTGATATGAAAAAGTAACCTAAAAGTAATGACAGTATTAGAAGGTCTTTTGTTGATACAAAAATAAATAGTTGATAAAGTATTTAAATATTTTGAAAATACTTTAAAAAGTAGCTATAATCTCTTTGTTGTATTTAACAACATATTTTAGGAAAGATATCTTTTCTTAAGGCCTTACTTTATTTAACAGTGTCTTTTTTTTTCCCTGATTATGTTAAGTAGCTATATAATTTTAAATAAGAGTTCTGAAATTGAATGCATTGATTCTAATTGTTATTGTATTGTAGCCTACTCCAGTGGGTGCAGTTCAGCAAGATCCTGCTCTGTCATCAAACAGAGAAGCACATCAACACAGAGATAAGATACAACAATCCAAAAATCAGGTTTGCTGCCCTTTTAGATATGAAATGTCTTAATTTGCTTCTGTATTACCTTCTCACAGTTTATAAATATATTTGGTGTTTTATCATGTGCAGATGACAGCTTTATATGTGTATGCATTTGAGTGAATACATACTTGTATATACGTATTGAAGGATTGAAATACATGTTTTTTTCTTTTATAAAGCAGACTATATACACACATATTAAGGATAGAAAATGCATATATTTTCAATAGCTAGACTCCTTCCCCTAATGTTCACATTAAAAATGTTTAATCATAAATCCTAATTAGTGGTATAAGTTAGTATAATAAACTTTGAGCAATGTTTGATATTCTGTTAGAATGGAAGTATCTGGATACCCTGTTGGAATGAATTGTAATAGCAGTTGGTCTTTCTAACTATAGTCTAACTAAATTATCTACTGAGTTCCTGTTATTTGAAAACTACTATTCTCCACAATGCAGAAATTCAGAAGTAAGGAAAACATATAACCTGTAAGAAATGATTTTGTAATCAGTGGCTAAGACCTCTCTCAGCCTCTGGAATCAGTCATAACTGGATATGGCTCGACCCTGGGCAGATTACTCATTCACTCAAAGCCTCAGTTCTCATCTATAAAATAAAAATAATTCATTTAATTCCTAGCATATAGTAAGCTTTCATTAAGTCTCAACTCTCGTGGCTGGTATTACTGTTATCATTATTACAATAAATTCACAAATAACTACATTACAATGCAGAATAAACTCTACCATAGGAAATACATTAATAAAGTGCCAAGGAGGATCATTGGAATATGTAGGATCTATAAAGATTTTATGGCAAAGATAGCTTTTGAGATGAGCCTGAAGAATGAATGGAATTTTTAAAGGCAGGTGAAGGAATAAGAGCATTTTGGGGAGAGTGAACAGTAAAAAATATAAAGCAGAAGTTTAAAAATGTAGAATATGTTTGAGGAGAAATAGCAGCTGGCTTGGAGCAGAGAGTAGGTTCAAGACAAGGCATAGAAGATTCATTGAAGAATTTGTATTTCCTGGGTAAGGTATATTGGAAGCTGTTGAAATTTTTGAACAACATTTTCACTCTTCTTATTTTTGTATAAGGAAGCTTTATTGAATCTTTTTGACGTAAAAATTTTTGCTGTCACCCTGAGTTAAACAGACTTTAGAATTTTGGGTTATAACCCTTTTTGGAGGAGGATAGTGTGTTATCCTTTTTGTATCCCATCAGGGTTCAGGTGAGGGTTAAATAAGAAATGAAATCAAAGAAAAAACACAACTTATTAAAAATAATAGCCAAATAAAATGCTGCATTTAAGAAATATTTAACAACATTATGCTTTAAAGTATAGAGAATTTTAAAAGATTAGTTTTATAATTTCACCTTAGAAAAATTGGGACAGTAAAGGGTATTATATATAAATTACTTCCAATATAAATTACAACTTGTTGATAGCTTGAGTACTCTGGTAAGATGCTGTATATAGAAAGAAATGGGAGAAATCGAAACTTGGAGTTTGTGTTTTATAAATCAGTTAATTTCTCAAATGTACGTGGAAGAAGATCAGTAATTCATGTTCTGTGAAGATCTCCACTTGAGCTGTTAGGTATTGTAATAAGTGAAACTCTTCTTTTATTGTTGAGTTAAATTTTTGTTGAAATAAATTTAAATGTTTTAAAGGTTAACTTTCTACATGTTTCAGATACGTCTTGCTAGCTCAATTGCCAGCTCACTGAGGGTGGGAACCATATTTTGTTGATGTAGTACTTGTTGCACTAAATGTAAGGAGTCAGTTTTTTTCTCAGGAAATCCTTTAGGATAGCTTATATATTGAATTTGAAACCAGGACATGCAGATTCTTACCATGATAGAAACATTGTATATCTAGAAAAAATTTCTTAACTATCTGTGATGCAGTAAGCAGCTTAAGTTGTGTGATAAACCCATAGTTCACAATCCCAAAAGAAGAAAGGTTAATTCTTTAAATGTCTGAAACCTTTGTAATGTCCCCAGATAAACAATTGTAACTTAGAGTCAATGGTTGAAGTTCAGGGAATCTGGAAATTTTACAGAAAATGTTGGGTGCATGCAAATGTTTGTCCTGAGGCGAGGTTGCATAGCTCTTACTGTCTTCTTAAAAGGTCCATGGTTCCCAAATGTTGCCTGCTGTCCGATGCAACATTTCGATCTTTGTCTCTCTTTTAGTATGATTTTCATTCTTTCATCTTGTTAAGATTTGGTCTTGTCTAATTTATTTCACTTTAACCCTACAAATCTGCTAAATTCTGGTGATAAATTTGGAGGATTTAATGAAAAGATATTATAGAACTGTCATAATTGCTTTGATGACATATTTCATGCCAAAGAATGCAGTTTTTCGTTGTACAGTTTAATTTAGGAAGTTTAGTGCCGGAACGTTTATTCTTTGTGTCCACTTGATTTCAACATCTCTTCCCCTAAAGGGTTACTCTGGCTCCTGATATGCTTAGGCTCCGTATAGCCCAGTGTACTTGGCACTTTGTGGCAAGATTTTCCTTACTTTGGTTGAAAAAGAAAGAAAAGAGCCCTGAAGTCTTTAGAACATAATGTAATTGTGATAAGGAGCTAGGTAGTAATATTGGAAGAGCAGTAGGCTCTCAGTTTAAATCCTTTGTGTACTCTTTGGTACCTCTATGACCTTAGAGAAGTATTTACTGTTTCAGTGTCTTCATCGGTAAAATGAGGGTGATACTGTCTATCTTAAAAATGAGATAACACATATAAAGCAGCTAATGCAGAACCAAACATGTAATGGAAACTTAAATATTGTATACCTTCCCCCTCTTCTTATTAGTGCTGTCCACATTTTCCTGAAACATAGAAATTGACCCCTATTAAGCAGTTACTCCTAATTCTGTTACTAGATTATTATTAGTTTGTGGTTATTGCCATACAAGTTCGCCAGATCATCTAAAAGCTTCAAGAATTATCAGCCTATTTCATGGAAATGGGTTTCTTAATCTGAACCAGATAAAAAGATCAAAGAGGCAAAGAGATTCATATATGTAAGATTGTCACTTAAAAAAATTGTTTACCATATCCTCTTGGTATTCTATATAGCACTTCTCGCTTTTCGAAGAATTTTTCTGTTTTCTTGATTTATCCTCATAATCAGAAACAGGGTACTAAGCAAGAAGAGAAAAGTTTTCTGGGACCTTAAGTATGGCTGTTTGAGTACTATCTTTTTATTCACCTTGCTAGAAGTAGTTCCTCATCAGAAAACTAATGGGGACCTCTACTGTAAGAAAATATAGTGGATGGCTTTTTAAAACATCTCATGGTTTATTTGGAGTACTTTCTTGACCACGTCATTTTTACCTCTCTAGTTTTTGTTAACTTTATAAAGTTAACGAGTGGAGTCTATGATATCTAAAGTCCTTTCACTTCTAAAATTCTGTGATTCTATTTTATTTTTGTGGTTGATCATTACATTATTGTAGCATTTTAACTGAAATCTCTCCATGTTCAATATGCAAATATAACTGCATCTGTGACTCAGAATAGTAAGGGTATTTTAAATTTCCTTTTATACGATTGTTTTCTATATTATAAGGATGAGATGTTTAACATTTTGGGTTTCTCTTCTTCCATGCATGCCACATGCATTAAATAAATGGCAGTCGGCAGACCACAGGGCAGCTTGGGACTCCCAGCAGGCAAATCCCCATCATTTGAGAGCTCACCTTGCAGCAGACAGACATGGTGGCTCGGTACAGGTATTTTCTGATTTTTGCATGAGTGATTATTTCCCAAATCTATACAACTAACCCTTTTTGGAACTCATGGCATGATTTCATATCCTAATGAAAATCTTGTTGCTGAACCTCCATACTTCTATTCCTTTGTATTTAACCAAAAAGCAGAATTAACATGGTCTAGCAAGACCAACAGGGATACTAAGATTTTGCCTTTGTTCATTTTTGCAAGCATATGCAACAGTATTTAAGTAAGTTGTACTCACAATAGGTTAGAAAAACAAAATGTATTACTTGAAATATGTGTTAAACTTGATTTTCCAATAATAAGCTCAGTCTTTTTTCATGCTTTAAGTAATAGAACATTTTTTATATCTTTTCCCTTTCATTGATTTTGCCTCCTTCAAACTTAGTTAAGTAGATATCTAACTTTTTCATCCTCAGTCCTTAGAATGTACTTTCTGATTAATTGGTCAAATAAACATGACCCTAATTTTTTTTTTTTTTTGCGTTATGCGGGCCTCTCACTGTTGTGGCCTCTCCTATTGCGGAGCGCAGGCTCAGCGGCCATGGCTCACGGGCCCAGCCGCTCCACGGCATGTGGGATCCTCCCGGACCGGGGCACGAACCCGTGTCCCCTGCATCAGCGGGAGGACTCTCAACCACTGCACCACCAGGGAAGCCCCATGACCCTACTTTTATCATTACATATTTTGTTTGTACTTGGAGAAAATAGCACATGGAGAAAATAATTTCAAGGACAAGTATTTATTAAATATTTCCCTCAACTTTCTGGATATTTACAAAAATTTAAAGCTGTCCCTTATTCTTTTTGATGTGTTCCTTTTTCCCCCCTTTTCTATATATTTAGAGATAGCTACTATATTCTGCCCTCACATGCCCCCCTAAATTTTAACCTTTTGTATGTATTATAAAAATAGAAAAAGATTACTGAGTCTCTTGTTTCTTTTAAAAATGTCAGTTTAAGGTAATCTGAATGCTGGTTGAAAGAAATTGAGATGATAAATGTTATCTTAATCCATTTCAATCTAGAACCTAGATCTGATTTTTTTTCCTCCACATATTTCCACTGGAACAATTTTCTATTATGTTTTACCAAATCTGCATTTTTCTTAGTATGTATATATACATATATATACATATATGCACACACACATACATATATGTAATCTGAATCTATGCTTGGGTTTTATTCTTTATTGATTAGAATTCTAAAAGATCAGTTCTTACTAGTTATCATGTTTTTCCCATCTTTAACTTTTAGAGGTAACTTAAATTGTGAAACCAAGTATTTTTTAAAGAACTTCGTAGTCTATGGAACTTTCAGTCATGTGTGTAACACAAGTATTTGAATAGCGCTGTCAAAGTCTAGAGTGAGGGATTCAGAGGCAAGGGTGCCTGAATTGTAAAATTTTTTGTGACCCAAATTCATATCACTGGAAAGTTAAGTGAGAAAATTACGTTTAATTCCCATAAACACAAACTGGATTGTGTATGTATCTGTGTACGTTTATGTGTTTCTAAGTGTTGTATGTTTTTATAGCAGGTGTCTTGCTCAGTGTTCAGGGAAATCTGTAACAAGACATTATTAGAAAGCTTTCCTACCACTTCTGTACCATTACCACAAATTTATCTTTAGTTTTTTCTTACTTTGTGGAATTCCCAGAGATGGCTCATGGGATCTCTTTGGACTGTCAAAGGGTGAATGAGTTTGATTATTGGCTCATCACTCAAAAACTTTGTTCTATTTTTTCACATGTTCTCAAAGATATATTTCAACTCTGCTCATGTCTCATCATCTCTTTAAAACTTTACTGCCTTGTAGAGATTACATCTGGCTTCATTCTAATATTCCATAAGTGATCAGTTTACTTACTAGAATTCTGGTAATACATAAGTAAGACAAAAAATTTTACACTATTTTTCATTTACTTCCTGAATTAACTAACTTGATGTGATGAACATTAAGGTAGTTTTACTGTCATGAAGAATTTGCTAGCAGCCTAGGTAAGATCATGCCTGAATCTTGCCCCACTCCAAAATGTTGAATTTATTTATAATTTTTATCCTACCCACTTTCAAAATTTGAAAAGTTATAATATGACACTGGTATAATTGGACTAATGAAATTGTAATTTAAAAATTAATAATAGAGGAAATAAAAATACCTTAAATCTGAGCTTATATGATTATTATGATAATTGAATACTATATTTGACTTTGAATGAAGGAAGAAAGGAAAACAATGTGTTCTTTCATTCTCATTATCTGATAAAGAGAAAAATCTTTTTACTAATACAAAAGTATGAGTAGAATTTGCCTTGAGGTTCTTTGTTCTATGGTTCTTAAACCACCTGTTGGACAATGTTCAAGTATTAGCTTTGCAAGAAATATAAAGACTTTAAACGGCAATTGAAAAAATTATCCTCAACAAATACTAAGGGCATATCATCAAATAGTTTCTCAGGAAAGACATTTCCAAAATAAGTAGGTTGGTATCTGTTAATAAAATGTATGCCAGCACCTCTTGCCTTTTTGACTGGACCTACAGAAAAATCCTCAGATACTCATTATTTCACATGTTCTTTTAATAGGAACTGCACGTTGGAGTCTACATTTGAACTCCTTATCTTTTCACAATTATTATGTATATTATTGCAGATCAGACATATAGGTTACCAAGTTGATTTAATTGTGGTGAGCAGCATAAGCATAAGTTCAAATTCTGTACCTTAGATTATTCATCAGTGACATGGAGATAATAATAGCTCTACCTTATGGTTTTGTTGTGAGAATTTTTTTAAAAAGTATTTAGCACAGAGGCTGGGGCTTAGGAAGTACTAAATAGTAGAATAATCTATTGCTTTTGCAAATTAGGAAACTTGACTAGTGTTTTTTTTTTGTTTGTTTGTTTGTTTTTTGCGGTACGCGGCCCTCTCACCGTTGTGGCTTCTCCCATTGTGGAGCACAGGCTCCGGACGCGCAGGCTCAGCGGCCATGGCTCACGGGCCCAGCCGCTGTGTGGTATGTGGGATCTTCCCGGACCGGGGCACGAACCCGTGTCCCCTGCATCGGCAGGTGGACTCTCAACCACTGCGCCACCAGGGAAGCCCTTGACTAGTATTTTTATCCATCTCTGAGAAGTGAAGTATAGAGATACAGCCAAACGAATGCATTGTGAAATGGGATTTATCTAATTTTATTCTTTCTCTTTAGTGAAATCATGTTAATTTACTAACCAGAAGGATAATGCTATACATTTGATAAACTTTTCCCACTTAAGAGACTAAGAATAATATTCAGATACCTTAAAGAGTTTATTTTGAATCTGTTCTTGGCTTTTATGTGTTTTGGAAAAGCTCTTAGGGGAACAAGTATGCCCCCTCCTGCTCCCCTTAGAATCACTGGTAATAAATATGGCTGAGAAGCCTAGACCTACCACTTTCAGTTTCTTGGCTATTCATTATTCAGCAAATATATATAAATGTCTACTGGGTGCTCGGCACTGTGCTAGGTTCTTTGAATAAAAGGGAGAATAACAAATATGGTGCCTGTCCCCGTGGAGCTTTCAGTTAATGGGAAAGGCTAATAAACAGGCAGTGTGATAAGTGGAGAAAGTACAAGGTGCTATGAGAATATATAGTAGAAGCACCTAACTTGGGTTTAGCGGGTTAAGTTTTCCTGGAAAAAAATGGTATTACTTATATTTTTTTACACATTTTCAGTGAAGAATCAGTACGGCTTAGCAGTCGAAGAAGGTAGAAGGGGTTAAGAAAGGGAGTGTACCAGGCAGAGAAAACAACATACCTAAGACTGTGGAGGAGAGATTGACAGATTGAGGAATTAAATGCAGTTTGGTCAAGCTGGTACGTATTGAGAAATGAGACTGACAGGTAGGCAGGAGGCAAGTCGTGAAGGACCTAAAAGGTCTTGTTATTAAATTTGGACTTTGGTCTGAGGGTATTGGGTAGCCATAAAGAGAATTAGATAGAGAACTAATTTGATTAGGTTAGTATTTACAAAGCTTACTTTTGCTGGAGACTAGATTGAAGGGAGACAAGTCTAAGGCAAGGACACAACTCTCAAAAGTCCACAGCTGAGGAGAGATGATGGGTAGTGGAGATGAAGAGAAATAAAAGGACTTGAAAGATAGTTAGAAGATAGAATTTAGTTGGGTATGGGGGTTGAGGGAAAGGGATGGGTCAGTTATCCCTCTCTGATATTTTCTACCTGGCAAATCAGGATTTCCAAAATTAGGTTTTAAAATGTACCACTCGCAGCAGATAGTACTAGTCTCTAATTCCACTGTGTTGAGCCTTTCACTGTAACACAGTCCATGGAGCTCGATGCTGACTAAAAATCTGATCCAAAAAAGGCTGAGAGGTCATGGCAAGCAGAGGGAGGAAGACAGCTGTTAAGGGCACTACTATTTTACATGGTATGGGATACCTTCTGATTGTTTGGAAAGCTCCTCTGCTTTGCATTTAAGGAACAATGTGACACTGGGGAAAAAAGGACAGAATCACAAGTGGTGCAGATGTGTTATGCAGCCAGAATAACATTATGAAATGTAAGAATAACATTAATTGTTGTAATAAGCAGTCTGATATTTTAGTCGGTGTCACTTCAGAAATACAGATACAGGTGATGATAACAGAAAAAGAATTAGACACATGTATCCTGAAACGGTAAGGAAACATGTGATTAAAAGTCAGAGGAGTAATAGATGTCATATCTGAGTCAGTTCTCCATCATGCTAATTGTTAATGCAGACTTTCTAAAATGTTTGAGATAACCAGTTTCAGTTTTCTTTATCAAGTCTTTGAAAATACTGAGGTACTAACAAGGAAAAGAATTGAGTAACTAGAACAGTCATATCTTTCTATTCATTGTTTTCTGGGGTACTGAAGTCTGAATAAGAGAGGTAGTTGTGGAAGGGGAGTAGTTGCTGCCTTTATTACAAAAATAATTTCCAGTTCACCTTTTTTATTTAGTTTAGG